TAATGGTGTTTTCTTCCTAAATAATTGTTACTCATATATATCTTCCTTCCCTCTAGGAGATTTTTTCATCCATGAAAATAGGAGGGATGAGGAACTGAATCCAATTTTACAAACAACAAATCAATTAGGATCCGCGAGTAGTGAAACTAACATATTTTATATAAATCCGCAAGTGGCGGACCTTTACTTTATTTTTTAAAGGTCCGCGATTGGCGCACAGAATATCTCCACTAGATTATCCGAGTCTCAAACCTGAATTGATAACATAGAATAACTTCTTTATTCAATTTAGAACAGGCCTTGAGGCCTTCTAGACAGAAAATGCAGACTTACCCAAAATAACCAGTCCGTCTAGTGCTATCAAAGTCCTCGTAAATTAGCATTTTATTTAAAAAACAAAGCGCACTCAAGGGACGCTATGCTCTAAACTAAATTACCTTTTTTTTTTTTTAATAAAAAACTTATGAGGACTAGATCCCACTAGATAGAGAGGTTAGTTTTGGCAGGTCTGCATTTTCTGTCTAAAAGAAAGAAGCTATTCGTGCTAAGAAAAATTGAATCAAGAACATTAAAATGGAAAAAAATCGAAATTCAGGTTTTCAAAAATTGATCATGAACCCTAGACCCTGAATTTTATTTTTTCTTAAAAATTGTCAATTTTTCTGGAAGGGCAGGGCAGAAAGTAAATATTTTCAGATCACGATAACATTGGGGCTTGAAACTTAAACAAGCAATAAACAAATAATCAGCTGATCAGTGATCAGCTGGGTGGAACGCTGGCTAGAACTGACAATAATGCGATGCGCGCGACTCCGAAGCCCTGTGATCGGGGTACGGCTAATGTCTCTTTTATATACTGTGCTTGAAATGTGCTATAATGTGCCGAACTGCGCCGTTTTGATACCAAAGCTATAGGAAAAAGAAAATGAGGCGCTAACTTGACGCTCAGCCCCCCCAAAATCTTGGAAATCAGATTAAACAAAAATGGATTCTTATGCAATCTGAAGTGTGCTGAACTGTGGTGCCTCAAGTTTTTCACAAAATTTCCATATTCGGTCATTTTAAGACAAAATCCCACTGGAGGGCTAACTTAACGCTCAGCCCCGCCCAAAATTTTGGAAATCAGATCAAACAAAAATGGATTCCTATTCAATCTGAAGTGTGCTCGACTGTGCTGTATCAAGTTTTTCTCAAAATTTCTATGTTCGGTCGTTTTCCGACAAAATCCTACTGGGCGACTAACTTGACGCTCAGCCCTTCCCCCAGGGTGGAGGCCCTAACTTCAGCTAATGGTGGAGGGCCTAACTTGACGCAGCCGAAAAAAGCGAGGGTTAGGACCTTGCGATATATAAAATGGCCGAGTTAATGATCTGCACCTTATCCTAACCTAATGCGAATTTTCGTCATAGGTAATAAAATAGTACCAACATAAACCTAAATTGACTACATGTCCTATATGATAACCTATCGTGACTAATTTTATTTCTTAGGCCAAGCGCAAAATGAGACGTAGCTTGGTGACGTGAGTCACGGTGACTTTCAGCTGGAGAAAACTGCTAGCGCGGGTAACCGCGCAAAGACAATGGCAGTTTTCACTTCGCAGGCAGACCACATGCAAAAAAAAAAAATACAGCTGCTGCTTTTCCGTATTGAGTTTTGTTCGCATATAGTCTCTATGGCTTGTATCGTACAGAACTTTTCGAATCTGCACGGTCTCAATTAATTTTTCTTCCACTTTCAAAAATTTCAAAACACGCACCGTGACTCTACGAGAAAAACTGCGGCAAGTACACTACGTTTCGCAGGACCAAAACTGCGGCAAGTCACGCTGCGAAGAAATTTGCACGTTACCTACTCTTACTTAAGTTACGGTTTGTTAGGATAGTACGCGACGCATAACTGACAACGTAAACGTCGTCATTGGTTCAGGTATGACGTACACCCGTTTTCTCACGTCAGTGTCAGCGTCAGAAAACGAGCACGGAAAAAAAAGGAAAATTTAACATGCAGGGCTAACTTGACGGAGACCAAACCCAGCCTAGAGAAGGTCCTGAAAACACAATATGATAAATTAAAAAATGCCATGGATGAAGTACGTGAAGAAGTTGTAAGTGTTCATGAAGGAATTGGGAAAGTGTAATCAAGAAATTGGAACAATCATCGGAAAGTTGCGCTTGAAGTTGAAACTGTTCGTCAGGATTCAGTAAGTTGGAGCTTTTGCCAAAAGTTGGATAGGGTTCAGAAGCAAATCAAATAGTTGGAATAATTATGTTTTCAGATCAGGAAATATCTTATGACAGATGACAGCATGGCAGTCGATAAGGTGGCTCTTCTTGTAGTTCCTGTGACGTCAGTCCAAGGGAAGAACAATCTGGTAGGCGTGAGGTAGGCCTGCTTTAACAGAAAGCTATCCTAGAGGGCATTCATTTGACATTGGTATCCTAGAGATGTCATACATGTGGATAGATGGGGCGAGATTATTACGGAGATGACAAAGAACATAGATCTACAAGACTTTTTTTCAATTCCAAGACCTAGGACTGCTGGTAGTGGCGAAAAGGAGAATGCTAGAGGGATGATTATGAATCCTTGTGGAGTTATATACGTAGAAGAGGTGGTGCATCTTGAGTGGGTGAAGAGTTACGACGTTACAAGAGAGCGAAAAATCCGACTTGTTCAACGAACCTTGTTGTTAGTAGAGAGAGCTTCAGTCGACCATGGAATTCGTGACTTTATTCCGTTAAAAGAACCCAGCTTGTCCTTTCCTGGGTAAATAATTTTTAATGTATTTGGGTTTGGCACCGCACCTAGGATCCTGGTTCTAGTACCAAAACCAAATACTTCTGGCTTATAACTTTCAAATCAAATCATCAAATCAAAACTAGCTTTATTGTCCAGAAATATGTTATCTCACTGACAAAGCAATTTCCTAATACTAGAATTACACTAAGTACATGTCATAATATTATTAAAGAATAAAAAAACAAAAACAAAATGACAAAAAAAAAAAAAAAATTTACCAAAATCTTTATCCAATCACCACTATGGAGGGTGCGGACATGTAGCCATTAACATGTAGTGTATAAAAACTTAACCATAAAATACAAAGTATAAAACATAAAATAATATAAATTATAAAACATAAAATACAAAAAACCAAATATAAAACACAAAATAAAAAAACAAAAAAATGCAAATATCAATAACAATGAAACATTCATAAGTTTAGATTTAAATTTAAAATCCAGTGTCGTAATACTCAGCGATACTGTAGAGGGCTCTTGGCACTAAAAGGCTTTTCACAGAATTTCGAAACATTCTATAATTTTGAATATTTTTTAACTCTCCTGGTAAATGATTGTATAGTTTAATGCTTTCATAAATCACCGAACTTTTTGTTAAAGAAGGCTTTGGGATTGGAAGTGGAAGATTATTGTGTCTTAGGTCATAATTTCTTTCTTGAGTGGTCCCAGAATATTTTATAAAGATTAGACACACTGATTCTAAGATAAATAACGATGGTGCTGTTAGTATTTCCTCCTGCACAAAGAGTTGTCTACACGATTCTCTACAACTTTTCTTGCAGAGACAGGGCACTGCCCGCTTCTGGAGAACAAAGACTGAGTGGACCGATTTCTGGGTGGAATATCCCCAAAAAGCAATTCCATATCGCATATGAGACTCCATAAGAGAGAAGTACGCTGCTCTAGCATCTTGCTTTCCCAGATCCTGTGCAAGAGATCTGATTATGTAACAGCTCTGTTCTAATTTTTTATTTAGCGTTTCAATATGTGTGTCGAACTTTAATCGTGTATCTATATATAATCCCAAGAACTTATTGGTTGTTGTTTGTTCAAGGGGAATATTGTCTAATCTCACCTCGCCCAGAGAACATTTGAATGTCAAAATATTAGTTTTTTTTGTATTAAAGCATAACCTATTTGAGTCGCACCAGCGTTTCATCTGCATAAGGTCCTGCTCAATAGTTGTTTTAAGCTCCTCCAGATTCTTGCCCTTCCACAACACTGTTTTGTCATCAGCAAAAGTTGTAGATTTCCCAGCGATTGGGAGCTGAGCTAAATCGTTATTGAAAAGGTGTAATTCTTGCCATCTGCGACTTCTTTCCATTTATTCTTACTAATTGCTCCCTGTCTGAAAGGTACGACTCAAACCACCCCGAGCACACTCCCGAAAACCTATAGTGACTCAATTTCTGCAGCAGTATTCCGTGATCCACACAGTCGAATGCCTTCGAAAAATCACAGAACACCGCCGCAGCCACATCTCCACCGTTTAGGCCCAGAAAAAGTTGCTCCAAGAATGAAAACATGGCGTCGTTTGTTCCAATATTGTTTTGGAATCCAAATTGATGCTTGTCAATGATTTTATTCGATTCCAGAAAGAATGTGAGCTGTTTTTTACAACCTTTTCAATTATTTTCGGGATTGTGCTCAACAATGATATGGGACGATAGTTCGATGGGTCATTTTTGTTTCCTGCCTTGTAAATTGGTACCACAGATGTTTTCAAACATTTAGGAAATACTCCTGTAATCAGTGAATTATTTATGGCTGATGTTAACACCTGTAATGCTTGTTCTGGTAAAACTTTTGTCGGCTAATGTAAAAAAAAATCCGTGCTTATAGCGAATTATTTAACGAACTTTTCCTGTATCTACCTACATTTTAATAGGATACGTTTGCAGTACGCACTACCTACTTTTGAGTACTTAAAGATACCCCGAAAAAAATTACTCGGTCCCATAATGTCTTCTAGTAACTATGATGTGCCATCATTGCTTATAGGCTTAGTGGTGATAAGTACGCTGGTACCAATTTAGTGTACATAAACCAGGTGTGATAAAAAAAAACAAAACGGTCGAATCAAAAGTTTTTATTTCTTAGGTTGAACAAACTTTTAAATCAGGAAACTGAATACGTTGTTACAGGAAAAACGTTTATTGAGGATTTATTCACACGCAACTGGGGCTTCCATTTTATTTAAAAATATGATTCCACTTTAAGATCCGTCGGGGCCATTGAATGCAAACACTTGGTCATTTGAAAACCAGTCTCAGCTGGATTATCTTTTTTCTGAGCGCATTGTTTTACCGCAGCCTTAACCAGCGTTTCGTTGGAAAACTTTTCAACCAGCTTTTTGAATAAAACCTCTTCGTCAATATCACCATTTTCCTTTTGGAAGCCAATTTTTTTGTTGGCGCACAAGATCTGATTTTTGAGCTTTTCATCTTCAGTGTATTCACCTCTCATCGCTGCTAACATTACGGCTTCATCCACCGACGTTTCCTTCATGCAGTCACTATGTATTTTTTTGAATTTTTCGATTTCTTCTTGAGTTAGCTGTTGTGCCTTAAAAAATAATGTTCTTGCTTTAAATTATATTTAATAAATACATTTTAATAACTATTATATTATCTATTATCTATATTTATCTATATATATATATATATATATATATATAAAAATCAAAGTTCGCGGGGTATCCGGGTATGCGCTCCTACACCACTTATCCGATTACGATGAAACTTTGGTAGGTTGTTATGGCCATCTCAAGGAACGTTTGTGGATAGGTTACGCAACTCGGAAAAATAAATTAATTTTGAATTAATTATTAATTTAATTGTAAACAAACTCATTTCAATTCATATTACATAACAACATAACCCAACTTTTTTTTTGACAGTATGAAAGGCTTGCCATTCAACCGACGTAGCTTTATTATTTTTTGAATTCGAGAACGGCTGGACCGATCTTGAAATTAATACCACGTATCTGGGAATAAGCTGAATTCGATTGACCCAGATTAGATCGATTTGGGTTCAATTTAAGTGAACTTCTTCTGATCTAGATCATTTTTTTGTTGATGAGAGTGCACTGATCCAGCCTCAATCGAACACAGGGTGGTTCACTTAAATTGAACCAGATCGATCTAATCCGGTCAATCGAATTCGGCTAAAGAGAGGAGTGCTATAAGCTATTTTTTATCCCGAAAAAAAAAGTTCGGTTGCGCGAAACTCTGATACACTGGAACGCCTATAAACAACCCGGGGCGCTCTAGAACAGTTCTGGAGCGCTTGATATGCGTCACTGAACTCACTGGCAAGCGACTCTGGTATCCGATTAAAAAAAAAAAAAATAGAAAATCAACAACAAAATTTGAAAAAAAGTGTATTATTTCAAAATGTATTTTCAAGCTGGCAACGCAGCGAGTCATTAGCTAGTATTCATATATTATATGAATAATTAGAATTAAAGCCAACAACGAACAGTTTTATTTATTGTAAACTGTCGGAATATTTTTATGAAAATTCTGTTAAAAAAGGTAAACAAAAATTTAATCTCGATTAAACAGGTCTAGTGATTTTATCAATTATTTAACCAAAATTTATTCAAAAAATGGCGTCGTCTGATTGGTCTATTCCATAATGAAAGGAAATTATCATTATGATATAAACAGTTACAAATATAGTTACGCACGGCCGATTGATGGCAAATGACAGCTGAGGCTGCAATTTGGAAACGGAGGCGATAGCGGAGGATTATAATCAGCCGATGTTGTTATTTGCAATTATCGGCCGTGTTCCGTTCTAGATTTTTTGTCATATACTGCAGACATGCTTTTTTCAAAACAAATTTAGATAACTTTATGGAAAAATAATAAATATAACTGTCGATGCTATTTAGCGCCTTGATATATTAATAAAAGCTTTAAAAAACAACAGATTTCAAGTGTTACCCAAGACCGGAGAAAAGTTCCTTTATAATTTCACCAATATTATCATCCCAGAAGAGGCTAACAGAATTTTAGCGTTAGGGCATAATTTTAGTATCCCGTTACGTAAAGAAGAAATTCCGATACCAACAATTATAAATGATGTGGAATAATGCATAATGTCTTTAACCAACGATAACCAATAACCTTCGAGCGTCAAATACGAATATCATAACTACACTGAAAAAATAGCTCTCCTTACCTCAAGGTATTCAGTGATCTTGAAATAAATTATCTTATATAAAGAGTTAATCTATTGCATGAAGAAAAATTACTTTGTGTTGAGAATTTCGTGGTTCTTGATATTTTTTTAAATTACTCTTGAATGACATTTCTTTCAGGCGAAATTATATTCTCTTATACCAAGAATAATCTTTTATTGCATAATTGTTAAGCTCTTTGTTATTTGGGCCAAGAATCTTGTTTTTTTTGATGGAATATTCCAAAATCTTATTCAAAATTCACGTTTCTGCCGATGCCCTCCAACCCAGTTGTGTAGTGCGTAGCAGTATCGTGTAACGTGCTGCCTACGACCTACTCGGACGTGTGACTACTTTTCAATTTGAACAGTTATATCCCATTTCCTATGGTGTTGCCCATCAGGATATCAGCGCATCAACGTCAGGGGACCAAAATTATCTTGCAATCCTGTTTGGAAAATACTTGTGATGGCCCCAATACAAGAATTTTTGGAGGCAAACAAGTTGTCCCACTACTCCCACTTGTTGGAAAAGTTTGAAGGTATAAATTATAATGTAAATTTTACAAGTAGTAGGTATACCTAATAATTATGTTTCCAATTTAGCAGTTTTATTTATTTAAATTGTGAATATAATGATTTTTTAGTCAGTGGGCCAATATTTTGTAAAAATTATTTGAATTCTTAGGCTAATAAATATTTTCAAAAATAAACAAAATCTGATGTTTCTTTATGACTCCTATCCTATCATCAAATACCTATGGATTTTAGGCAAAAAATTCTCATCTTCACTCAAGCGCTGATGACCTCTAGTGAAAAAATTGAGATCTTCAGCTAAGTACTTTGATCTTCAATGGAATCGGATAAATTTCTTGGAACAAGAAAATTGGAAAATTAGGTACCTTGGGACAAGGAAATTGTGTTCAATACATTGGGATAGTATTCTTGAAACAAGAACTTATTTCTTTCCAGTAAAGTATTCGAACAATCCTATGACAAGAAAATATTTAACTTTTGTGAAGAGAATATTCACTTGGCCATATCCAAAGTCGCAATTTCATTGAATGAAGTGCGTATTACGCAATTGAGAAATCCTTTTTTTCAGTGTAGTTTTTACAACAACCCAGTCTTCAATAACAGATACAATGCATTAATTAGATACTTTCAACGTACCAAGAAGTTCTTAAGAGACCATCTGGAAATAATGGTTATGAGATCGGACAAGGGTAACTCGATAGTTCTGATGAATTCAGATAAATATAACACTACAATATCTCTATTGCTAGCGGACATTACTACTTATAAGATAAATTAATAAAGATCCGACAGAAATGTTCCAGAGAAGGGCTAATGAATTTATAGGTGAGATGAGCGAACTGGGGTTGTTGATTACGGAACAGAGTAAAAGATTAAAGAAACACAACGCTGTTCCACCTCGCCTTTATGGTCTGAGGAAAGCGCATGAACAAGGGGTAATGTTGCGTCCTGTTGTTAGTTGTGTAAATTCGCCCTCGTATAACATAGCTTGTTTATTGCATAATATTTTATCCTCACTATCTACAACTTTCAACTATAATTAAAAGAAATCTTATGAATTTGTGGATTTCTCCAAGACAGGTTTGTTGCCTCCTGACTACATACTGGTATCCTTAGATGTAGTTTCTATTTTTACTTACATTCCAAATAAGTTAGTGATCGATATCGTCTTGAGGAAATGGTCGGTTATTCAGGCATACACTGATATTCATAAACAGTTGTTTTTGAGAATGTTGAATTATTGTTTCGATTCTAGTTTTTTTCTATATAATAGACAGTTTTATGTACAAGTTGATGGTACTACTATGGGTAATCTATCTAGCCCTGTTATTTCAAACTTGGTTATGAACGACCTTATTGAGAGCACTTTGGACAAACTACCATTTGTGAAATTATACGTTGATGATACATGAAACCTACCAGAAGTCGACCAGACTTCTGAATTAGTATTTTTCATGCCATTCTTCTACTCAAAAGGTAGCGACTATCGCTAACCTGCTGTTTAGATCTCTAAACGTATCTGATGAATTATTTCATGAGATTAACCTTATAAAGATCAAGGAACTGTTAAACGATAATAATTATCCGACCAATTTCGTTAATAGGATGATCACTAGGTTTAAACTTAAAACGATTATGGAGTGTGAAAAAAAATTATAATAATAGTGGCGTACGTAACAACAATAGATATTTCAAATTTCCGTCAATACCTGGTTTATCTAATAAAATTCAAACCTGGCTCAACAAAGAGGAGTGCTGCGTAGCTTTTTACAATAAGAAGACAGTTAATCAACTGTTCACAAAATTAAAGGATAAACTTCCTGTTGATTACGAATCTAATGTCATCTATGGTATCCCATGTAAGGATTGTGATAATAAGTTTTACATAGATCGAACCAGACAATTGCTTAGGGAACGACTGAAGCAACACAGATATAATTGTGATAGACCTAATAGAACGGACTCAGCAGCCCTTAATCTTTATCATCACACTACTAGCCATGAATTTGACTTCTCTCATCCAACAATTTTCGATAAGGAGTCCAATTTCATGAGGAGGAATATCAGTGGAATGATCCATATCAATGTTAATGACTCAATCAATTTTAGGACCGCTACTAATAATTTAAGCTCTTGTTATAGCGGTATTTTGAACAAATACAAATATAGGTTAAATAAGTGATAGGGGAGTAAAATGCATGAGGCAACAACATCTCTCTATGAATTCATATCGGTTCTGACCTTCAGTGCAGATTATTGATTTATACAGTTGACATCCTATATTTTGTATATTGACTTTGTGTGTGATGTTATTAATCATAGGTGTTCCATATTACAATTCACTAATGCATTTTATGTTCTATAATGGCTACTTTAACATCCCTTTAATTCTTTAAGATTGGTTAGTGAAAAAAAAAAAAAGAATTATATTATTTAAAATCGTGGTTCTTGATAATAATTCATATGGTTTCTATGGGTCAAAATCGCATACCATTGTGTTTGAATAAATAAACAACGCATAGACACATATTGCTTCGGTTCTCATGTATTCTCTGTACTGTAATTTTACTTTAATTTTATTCGACTATCTTGATGTACCTAATTGATGTTGCTCTTGATTCAATTATTTTTTATTGTATTTTTATTTTATTTCTATTTACTTTTTTGTTGTGTAATTTCATTTGACTTATTCAATGTTCTTATCGTTGTGATTTTTCTTCATTTACAGACCCTTGATAAAGTTGTAATAAACAACGAAACGTTGGGAAATTGATTGGAGTTTCACTACCTGCCTTGCCCTATCTTCCGCTTCGTCAGTAATGAATATAACTTTTCAATTCT